CCCCGCCGTTAGCCCCTACCCCCCCACCCCCGGCGGGGCCCCCCTCGTCAGAGCCGCCGACGCCTCCTCGCCACCACGCCTTGAGCGCCAGCACCGGCTGCACCAGGAGCAGCAGCCCCACCACAAGAAACGCCGATCCGACCACGGCCGAGTTCCAGCTAGACAGCCCGAACGTCAAGAACTGCCCCCCACCCCCGCCGCCAACGCTAGCTTCCGGCGAGATTCCTTCCCCCGAAGCGCCTTCGGCTCCCCCGCCGCCTGCGGCGCCTCCGCCTCCGCCGGTACCCCCGCTGCCGGGCTCGTAGGTCAAGGCCTCGACATGGAGGAAGGGGTCGAGGTCCGAGCGCGTGGTGACGAGCGTCTCGGAGAAAGTGATCGCTGGCGGGACCACGTCCAGCACTGTTCGCCCCTCCACCGTCACCACCGCATAGCTGTGACGTTGTTGTTGATGGCGGAAGAAAGATTGAATCAGATTGGCAGACAGGGAGACATATCCATCTTTCAGTCAGTGCGTGGTGTTGCTGGTCTGATTCCATCCTGCAACGCCAACGGTTACCTACCCTCCTGTACATGCATCACCATACGAGGCACCACCTATCAGCACTTCACGTTCGAAGATTGAGCAGTCACCGGAGAGTCTTAAAAAAACAAAAAATCGAAAGCCCTTCTGCGACGCGCCCTCAACCTCAGGGGGGTACGCAGAATGAACCACCCCACACCCCCTTCTCATCTGACAATAACCAAGCACCTGATCATATGCCGTGAGAAACATCTGGTCCGTTGGAACACAAGCAAACAAAAACGAAAACAAAAGGCCAGAAGTTGTGGGTGCGTACCGCCGTATCTCAAGCCAACCAGAATAAACTAAAGCAGGGAGTAGAGCCCGCACGAGAATTTCTCAGATGGCCCGGAATCCCCCATACAAGCTCGAACGATACTACTTCCGCGAAAAACTCCTGCTGCCTGCCGCACCGTGTTCCAACTACGTGGGAGTGGAAGGGTTTTTCCGGCAACAACTACCGGAAGGATGCGAGAGATGGCACGGTTCGGAGAGATGCCACCAGATATGAAGTGATGGATGGCACCGTAGGGTGTACTCATAGTCGTGCATGCCGTAGTCGTTAGACCATTGACCTCGCATCCCTACAAAGCCGGGACGGACCACGCCGGGTTCTCACCGGACCAGGCTCTCACATCACCAAGCGCGAAGCGCCGTGAGATATTCGGCGAGTCGCATGAAGGGTGCGCTGCATCCTGCTAAGCATGTTCGGCATCTTGTGCTTACTTGCGTACGGATGACAGCTGCGTATGACTTGATTTATTTTCTGGTGCTTTCACTTCCAAAGACAGTTGTAAGCACTGTGTAACTGCCTGGAGGGTGCTTGACCATTTTAACACAACATGGTGCTATCATCCCCCTTGCGCGGAGTGAGGATTGTCGACCCCGCATAACATGATCTACTCGACCACCATTATGGTTACCGCCCAAAAATAAAAGAGGAAAAAAAAAAAAAACGGCAACCTGGTTGCTGAGTTCACGAAGTGAATTGGCTTGTTTTACAACGTTGTTGCCAAGCGACCACAACCCCACCCCGATGGCACACACCGGGATGGATGGCACCGGGGTGTACAAAAAACGCCAATGCTTCTAATGTTTCGATCGCACCCGGTGCCATATCTCGCATACTTTCGGTAAACAGTACAAGCCGCGTCACATGCGGTTTCCGTAAGCGACGTAAGGTATCAGACCCTCTGGACCGAAATCTTCAAGCTCGATTGCTCCACGACCAAGAGGATGTACAATTAAAACGATACGTTTTCTAAAACGGAAAGCTTTCTAAAACGATACGCCTTTGGACACCGCAAATCTTTCTGCTGTGGAGAAACCGAGCGTGGACAATCGCCACAGGGGGGGTGGCATCTTACGTCACCCACGGTGCTAAAGCGTGCAAGGGGCCGCCCACGCCATTGCTTACCCCCACGGAGACCAAGCGTTGCGGGGATCGCAGCCATATCGTGCCGTCTCCTCCTCCTCCTCCTCCTCCTCCTCCTCCTCATGCTCTTCTTGCTCCGTTTGCTCGCCGGCTTCCCCCCCGCCCACACCAGCCCCACTACTGCTGTCGCCGCTTCCGATCTCTGCCACCGGGGCGAAATAAATTTCTCCGTTGTTGTCGTCCACGTGCACCTGACATGTTTTCAGTTCCACCGCACCCCCAGTGAATACGGATCAAATCTTTCTTGCATGCGTGAGTCTTGGGGATATGAGAACACATCGCAGAAGGAAGGCGGAGAAATAACTCCGTGTGGCCGGCCCTCTTCCTGTGAAACCGACCCCAGCTGGTGCCTCAAGAAATTTGCCGAGAGGTGTGAACAAACGACGTTTGGGATACATATGTAGGACGACAAATTCGCCGACTTGCAACTCGCTACACCTCGTGTTTGGGGCAATAAATCCAAAGTTTTCGATGGCGAATTCCATGGGGTCGTGGGGTGGGAGATCACTGTCATTCTCCTCCATCACCCCCCTGTCACCGGGATGGGCTAGACAAGGCTTTCTCAGAACCTGTTTCAAGCCCCCCAAGCTACCTACCCTTTACCTCGGGTATTGGAAGTTGATTTTTTCCTCCGCGCTGTCATCAAGGTTTGAAAAAAAAAAATCTATAAATTTAATACATAATGTGACCACCGAGCTCACGGTAACGTCGCCTTCGAAAACAACTGGTACAACAGTGTTTCGAATCAATCAAACAACACAGAACTCCACAGGGTCGACCCCGGAATTCTGGTTTCTGGCCCAACACAGACGCGGTGAATGGGGATAGCTGCATACTGAAACCTCACAAATGGATTGATTTTTGAGTTTGCCAGACACATAGACACGCTGAGTGGGGATAGCTACATACTGAAACCTCACAGGTGATTTGTATTGGAGATTGCCGGACACATAGACGTGTTGAGTGAGGATAGCTGCATACTGAAACCTCACAGATGGATTGGTTTTGGAGTTTGCCCGACACATAGACACGCCNCCAGACACATAGACACGCTGAGTGGGGATAGCTACATACTGAAACCTCACGACTTGAAGTGATGTTGGATAGTGCCGGACACAAAGACGCGCTGAGTGAGGATAGACACATACTGAAACCTCACAGGTGATTTGTATTGGAGATTGCCGGACACCTAGACGTGTTGAGTGAGGATAGCTGCATACTGAAACCTCACAGATGGATTGGTTTTGGAGTTTGCCCGACACATAGACACGCCGAGTGGGAATAGCTACATACTGAAACCTCACGAGTTGAATGATGTTGGATAGTGCCAGACACATAGACGCTTTGAGTGAGGATAGCTGCATATTGAGACCTAACGGGTTGAGTGACGTTTGCGACTGCCGGACACACAGACGTATTGAGTGAAGAAAGCTGCATACTGAAACCTCACAGGTTGATTTGTATTGCAGATTGCCGGACACATAGACGCGTTGAATGAGGATAGCTGTATACTGAAAATCCGCAGTAGCTATAGTGAGGGTACAAATCGAGAATGCAGTACACAAAGACTCGACCCCCAACCCGTACCCGAACCCCCCCTGAAAAATAGAGGCCATGCGCCCCCCCCCTCTCTTCCTCCCCCAGAGGATGAGGAGGGTACAGTACAAAGTAAGCACAAGCTTACCTAAGGTTAATGCCTATTGGTACGGCATTAAAAAAATCCTCAAGTCCCCCATTGATCGGTGGAGGACTTAGGGCTAAGACACCCCAAAACTCTCCGGCGTGAGATCCAAAATGGATCGGACGGTGGAAGGGGGGGGGTGTTCGTTGCTTGAAGTGGATCAATAAACCATAGAGCCATCAAAGCAAAGCTTGTTCCTCACGTCGAGCAAGCTGAACAACCAGACCAACCACGCAAGAACTGCGGAGCTAGATGTGCGGCACGCACAATGCATTGTTTTCGATTGGAGAGAGGCGAGTATAAAGCAGTAAGGAATTGTTGGCCAAACTTTCGGCAGATAGGTCTACTCGGGAGCGTAAGTGGGGTAGCAACCCATGGTGGAGCGTACATG